CCACATAACTGGTGCTTTTATAAACATCTCCACCATTTTTCTGCATTGGTTTAGGCAGATTTGGGCTTCTGCATCCCTTATCTCCTACATTTCATTTAGCAAAGTGCAGAAATTTTAATGTGTTTCTAAATAAGCCACTGGAAAAAGGCCCTTGAACCCTACTAGAATGAACCAGCAGAGGCACCAAGGGAGCCGGGTGCCTTTTTGACATAGCCTGATTTTTTTCTGACTTGCTCTCACCCACCGTTGCCTGCAGGATACGGGGGGACCCACGAGCAATGTTCAATGATGGCATCTTCACAGCAGCCCTCTAAAGGAAGAAACTCCAATATATTAAAAAAATCCCAGACCTACATCTCCTACGCACCATTGAAGCAGATCTACAGCTTCACAAATCAGACTGCAGCGTCTGATTGACTTGCCTCCCCTGTCTCACAGGTCTCTCGGGAGGATCGGCGCCGTGCCACGCTCTGAAGATAAGGTGCTGCGTGTGTGCTGGTTCAACAGCACCGGCACCTTCACCAGGGCAAACTGCAGCCAGCCTTCTTCTCAGCTGGGTCCTTTCTAACCCAGTTCTGGAAGAGAAAAGGCTGCTTTCATGTGTCTCGGTCCTTTTTAGACCAATTAGCTGCCCTCCCGGTCTCTGAAACAATTTTGACTCATTCAAAAAGGAAACATTACTATTAAAGGAAGAGAAATCGCTCCAGGTCCATCTCATAAATCACTGTGGGCATCTCTCCCCATCCTCATCTCTCCTGCGAGCTCTGCACCACACTCGGGTGCAGAGACCAATCTCCCTGTCAAATTCCATTACTTGCTTGCATACGTACTCCCAGTATGATTTCTGGAAGCGGTCTCCAGGTAATAACCCACCCCTGTGCAGCCAAATCTCCTTTTTTAAAGAGAAATCCATCAGTTGAGGAATCCAGCCATGTCCAAGCACCTCCAGAGGGCACCTGCCCCCTGCCTGCTCGCATGGCCACCGGCCACGCTGCTCAGGGCTCCTAACGGCCAGGACATTTTGGCAATAAACCTGGCCTGAACAAGAAGATGGGCGAAAGCCCTTCCGACCTCTCTGCACAGGAGGCAACGCTTTATTTAGAAGGTTGTTCCAGTGATAACGGAGCTAAGAAAGCACTTTCTCCTCAACAGCACCTCCAGGTACAGCGAACTGGGAAAGCCACTTTCCTTTCTCTTTTGGTGGCTTCTCCATCCACAGCAGATCAGTTCTCATTTCCATCCGGCTACCAAATCTTCCTGCTGGGACAGAGAAGGCCAAAGGCATGAGCAATGCAGAAAACTGCAAAATTTTGGGGCTGTAACACCTCCTAAACCAGCTCTGGAGTGCTTGAACATCCTTCCAGAGTGCTCGAACATCCTTCCAGCAGAGCAATCACAGCGAGACAAACACGGGGAATGGAGCTAAGGAAACCGCCCTCGTGGGCGATGAGTCTTTTCTTCCTGTTTATGTCCAAGCTCGTGAAAGGTGCCCGCTGTGTGCTGGGGCACTATAGTCCTGGGCACCCACTAACGACAGATAAATAACAGTCCAGGAAAGAAGAGAGATCTGAAATTGCTTTAAAGACAAATATATTGTTCAGTGGATTTGCTATTTCAAAATACCTGCTGATCGAAGACACTCATAAGTATATATCCAGACAGCTCAGAACAAGTCTTATTTAAGGGGAAAAAAGCTGTTTGAGCAAAAATGAAACTCCCTGATGATTATATTTTTCCTATTCAACGGGACACTACTCAGCCAACTGCAAAAAACAACATAAAATACATTTTTTGATCGCAATAACAGCATAAATACAGGCATATTTTAGACAGCAGAAAAAAGAAAGAAACACATGCTGCCTTCCAACGCAGAGCAATATTTTGACGTAAGGCATCCAGTGACTTGACAAACATTTGAACTGCATATCTGCAGTTCAGATAATAGACATCCTTTTAGTGGGATCTCTTGAAAAAAAATCTTCAATGTCCATTAAGCTGAAAGTTAATATATCTAAAATATAGGTGGCTAGTGAATTATGATCCTACTTCTACGTGGTGGGCTGCGATATTTCCCTCGTTCATGTATGAGTAGACTGGCAAATACGTGGGGAGACTCTCGCTGAGGCCCAACTTCTGGTAACAGATGAAAAAGCTTGCTTTGATTCTACGATTCTATAAATAGATTTGTTATTTCATAACACTTGACAGTACAAGGCCCCATTTCCATCACACTCCATAAAGTCTGAGCAACCATTAGTTTCAACAGCGCCGCCGGATGCCTGTGCACTCCCCGGACAGAAAAAGAAAGCAAATCGGTGGAGGTGGCTTACCGGGAGGTGGGTGAAGACAGCAAACGTGCTGCGTAGAAAGCCAATGAGATCTACAAGGTAGTCGCTGGCCTTGCTGCCCGGCTCCATGGCCATCCAGTCGTAGTCCGCCAGCTGCAAGAACTGGTCTATCTTCTGGTTCAGGTTAGTGTAAATCTCCTCCTCGGCAGCGTGGCGGGCATCCTGGGAAACAAGACAACGTTACATGGGACGGAGTCTCCATAGCACAAGTCTACACAAGTAACAAGACGTGAGACTGACGCAACCTTTAGCCCTAAAGGTAGCAGAAGACAAAGCACCTGCAGGCAAATACATGGCTGCTGCAGCCTCAGGTTAGCTCAGACTGGTGGGGCACGTGCCACCAGGTCAGTGGTGGGCAAGATCAAGCTGGTGGCTGCCTCTGATGCAACTTGGGAACCAGGAGGACAAATCTAGTGTAGGACGGAGAGGAACGTCCCATATGGGAAAAGGTTGAGATGCACCAAACTGTGTCCAAGTATGGGGTGCAGGAGGGCCGCAGAGGAGCCTCTCTGCCAGAATAAGGGTAGGAAAACTCACCCTTAGGGCAAATAGGTAGATGATGCCAGAAGGGGCAAGGAATGGACTTCCCTGGGGACCTGGGGCCTTAGTCTCCTGCTGAGTTACTCCAAGGGCAAACCTCACCTACCCAATTCCCTACCGCTGCTCGAGTCCTCGGCGCCGTTCCCATCTCCTGCTCTCCAGCCATGGGACACAATTCAGGCACCCCGCAGTTGACCCAATTATGGCCTTAAGATTTCATATAAAGTATCTGGGTGGACACTCCTGGGTTATGACTTAAAGATTTAAAGACTGGGAAGTCTGGCAGTTTCTGCCAGCCCTGATTTTTAGGGGATAATGCTAAAAGGACTGGAAAGATACAGAAATATAAGTTCTGAAAATCTATTCTCCTCTTGGGTGAAAGAGGAGAGCTTGCGTTCGTGGCCAGACGTGCGTAACAGTGTACAGTGCTCAAACGGCAAAATGAAAATTCATTAAAAAAAAAAAATCAGGCTTTTGTTTAAAAGATAATAAGTGCTGCAGTCACAGCCTGTAAATTAGGGCTACAAAGGCTCAGGATCTCGACAGAAGCAATGCTCCCAAGGACAAACCCAAAGGCTAGTCCGAAGGCGTAAGCTTCCCAGGATATGACAAAATTACCTTCAGCTCAGCTTCGCGCCCTACATCCATACATCCACACACGCGCTTTAAAAGCAGATACTCTCCCACCAAACATCCAGAGCAACTCTCCGGAGGTGGATCTACCAGCCTTCTCACCTTGAAGGTTGTGGTCCCATAGAGTTTCGTAGTGTGGACAGTTTCTGGAAGTACATTAGTGATATTGGTTATGAATTCCTCTAGGAACTTGCAGGATTTCTCCAAATGGGTTGTATTTATAATAATCTGTACAAGCTGCAAAGGCAAAAAAGGTATTGAAAGACGGTGCTCCCGAAGCCAGGGACGTGCCAGGTTAATGGATGCCAATTTATAAGAACTGGCATGAAGAGCTGACGCTGTACAAACACACTAAGCTTTGCTACGCACTCAAAGGCTCCCCTCCTTTAACAACATCAGAAACTTAAATAAAAGATAATTTTGGGGGAAAAGCATTTCCCATGACAGCCACTATTACCACAAAAGATTTTTTTTTAATGACTTTCCTACATTCAGCTGTCAGTCAGGGCTCATTTCAGCACAGTTCAAATACAACAGGCTTACAAAAAAATGCCATGTCAACTCACAAGCATTCTGTCTGCTAATGAACCCTAACTAACCCATATCTTGAGTGACACCGAACAACATCAGACTAAGGCGTCTAACAAAGAAACCAAAGGTTTTACTTTTCTGAGGGTGGTGTGGGTGAACAGCAGATCTCACCCTGGTATCTCCTCGGTTATCATACCCACCATTACCTGCAATTTTCTGAATGCTGCCTTCACATGGCACTATTTCAGGACATTAAAGGCAACTACAGAGTAAAAGCCTCTGCTGAAGTCAACCAATACAAACATTTACAATCCAGAGCAAACCAATCCAGGCTTCCACTTTAGGATCACTGACTTGGAAGCATCATTAATTCCTTAAGCAGATACCTTTTTTCCGAGCAGACTGCCATGAATATTTTGAAGGTGCAACATCAGCTATAACAAAACCTTTCCAAATAACGTCTAGCTCAGGTATCATGCCAAAACAGTCCTCCTACAGACACAGAAGGCATTATAATGCTCTAGATTGGTATAATTTAATTGCTGGAGTATGGTGTGGCAGTCCACAGTTACCTCCTCTAAAGAAATTATTTTTAAACAGTCGCAAATCTTCCGAATGAGATGGATTCATCACCGATTTGAGTGTTGCAGGTACAGAAATATTGAAGTAACACTACAAAGATTATAGCACCCAACTCTTGTTAGTGCCAGATGACACGAGAAAGGGCAATGGTCACGGTTTGGGCGGTTCATCTCGGATATCAGAGAGGACAAGAGTCATTAGGAAGGTAGTGCAGAACTGGAACGGGGTGCCCAGAGAAGCTGTGGGACCTATGCTCTGGAGAAATTAAAACTCGGGTAGAGAAAGCAATGGCTGACATGATCCGAGTGAGTAATAATCCCACTCCCGCTGAGAGGTTGGGCTAGATACATCCAGAGGTCCCTTCCAGCCAACGCTTCTGTGACTTCAGTCAGGTTTTTTGTTTTTAAGAAATCAAATTACCATCTATTTGAACTCCTCTTGGTTTGTACTTGGTCCCTGAAATGTATTACACAGGTAACTAGGAGGGCTTCTCCTTTCCGAACTCCTTGGGTTCTGTTCTTGATATTTGCCTTCAAACAAACACTCATTTGTTTGCCTTTCTCTGTGTCAGATAGCCCTGACATCACGATCGTGATATATTTTCCAATAGTTTCAAGTTAACTAAATATTAGATATTTCCAACTGTGTGAAATTCCTCCTAAACCTCTTCTCTGATCATTACAACTTACTGGTCCAGACCAGCTATCAAACTTGAAGGCCCTGATTGCTTTGATTCTCTTCCACCACTTTCTATGAGCTTTTCTGCTCCCTCTCTGGCTCCTTCAAGTTCTGATCTTCTCTTGAATTCAGAGGGGTAAGACCTTCTTGTTGGGGTATGCAAATGAAAAAAATAGTAGCATCTTTTCCCTCTCTTTTGTTGAGGGATGTCAGGATTATTCAAAACACCAGGATTATTTGCAGCAAACTTGGTAGCAAACTTCAACATCCATTGCTCAGAGCTAGCCCCAAAAAAGAGCAAAGAAAAAATAAATTAAAGAGGATAACCGACTGGGAAAGTTGGTACGCAGCCTTGTATTACCTTGTCCACTGCTTGGAAAAGGACATCGGCGAGCCCAGAAATGGATGGTGTTGCTTTGTGCAAAAATTAAATCTGGGAAGCGATAGTTACGCGAGGTACTTAAATATCTTCTGCAATCACTTTTGACACCAGAACTATGCTTGTGTACGATCTGGGACTCTTCAACGTGCCCTTTAATTCCTGTGCTTCACACAGTCACATCAATGTCTTTTTTTAAAAGGGAAGAATTTGAGCAACTCAGAAGAAAAACGCCACGTGCTTCCATTTGGACAAACAGGTCAATGGTCACACAAAGAAAAAAGGCAGGAGGGGACGAAGATGCTCTAAGTAGTTTTTCTTCAACCTAATTAGAAAAAAACTGATGGTAGAGGTAACGCCAGGAGCAAGCTAGTTGTACCTTGGTAAGCAGTAAGGAACAAGAGGGTGAAAATATAAGAAGAGATTCGGAGATGAACACCGGTTTCTGGACACGCTACACCTTTATTTTAAACTCAAGTTGTGCTACGTAGGCTTTCCTTGCAAAAATCCTCTTCAGCTCCAAAGCATGTGGAGAAGCCACTCTCAGCCCAAAGAAAGGCATCACCTTCACTCAACGTGGAAGATGCCAAGGTCCATCTACACCATCCAAAGGGGGCAAAAGCGGCTGAGAGGACCGTCGCACTCGGTTTGCCCTTCCTACACTCAGTCATACTGTGGGAACGTTTGCGCAGCAGCCAAAAGATCATTTGGGGGATGGATAGTGCAGGATAGTGTTGCATTCCTCTGCGGAGGGAGCCTTGGGAGGAGCAGGAGGGAAGAGGAATTTGCCCCCAGGGAGCAGAGAGATTCCAGACCTGGAGATAAAGAGCTGAGGAAGCATGGTGTGTAAATACATACCGCTGTAAATGCACTACGCTCTCCAAAACTCACCTCCATAGGGTATTTACGGTGTCCAGAGAACACATTTCTATAGTACAATCAATTAAACAGCTGCAACTGTGTTAATACCTACTCATTTAATAACAGCACACAAAGGTCCCACTAAGGTATCCAAACTGCCCTGGGTACCACACACGTTCCCCAACAGCCATAATTTCCATCCATTAAACTTTTTAGAAATCTAACTTTGTGTACAAAAAAGTATCAATCGCAAAAAGAAAATGCCAAGACAGAGTTTATACTGTAGCGATGTGCTGAAACCGCCTCAAACATCCCCTGTAGATGGGGGGATCCCATCCTCTCCTAGTTCCCACCTGCCTCCTCCCCAGTGCTCCCTGAAGTCCTCTTACCCACCACTTTAATTCAGATTGATAATGCTCTGCAAATTCAAGAGAGGGGCGATTCTAACAGCAACAGCAAAAAAGCTTCCTCTTTCCTGCAGTATTAAGTGTTTCTTTCTTTGTACAGCAATGCTGCGTGGGTCCATCATTGCTTTCCAACCTACTATTTTACAATACTGCTCCAAACCAGCATCTCTAAAAGTGCCGTAAGGAGCTCCAAGGGACCAAACCCCCTGCTGTCACCCTGCCCTAGAAAGGGGTCTCCTCGAAGCCACGTCCTACCTCCGTCAGCCCGACGTTTTTCCTCTTGATGACATTCTGTAAACAGTTGCTCAGCGTTCGGGTCAGCAGCAGATTCGTAGATTTTCTAATCATATCATCAACTTCGGTGGAACTGAAAAGTAGAATTTAAAGAGAGATGTGCAAAGTGCTCTATGAAAAGAAAATCACCTGGAGCTCTCATCACCCAGTCTCCTTCCCAGCCCTCCGCTGCCTTACCCATGATCATCCCTGCACCGCTTACAGGTGCTGACGTACCAATATATACCAAAATACCAACAATTCAGGCCTTTTTGCGCATGTGTCTATAAGGACGGGGGACTAACGTGTGCTAAACCTACATCCCTGAGCCTCTCCTCTTCGAGGGGCTGGTGCAGCACGGGTAGGAGCTGCCCATAGCATCAGCGCTAACCCATGCAGCCAAGCCCCCGCCCGCACACAACGCTGGAGTTTTGCACGTTCGGTACGCGAGCGAAAGGCATCGGAGACCTGCAACAGGGGGAAAAAACAAATCAAACCCCCAAAATATCCGCCCCCCCCAACCTTCTCATGTTTTATTCTTTAATTAAATCAGCCTGGAAGCTCTTGCAACAGGTTCATGCCCTTTGTCAGATGGTTGCAACTGCAGCATTGCTGAAGTCTGGGGGCTTGGCTTTCTGCTGAAGTGCTGCTGTCCCTCCAACGCGCATACCAGTAAGGTGCAACCTCTCCTTTCTGCAGGAGGTTTTGGAAACCCACCCCGACACAGGTCCCTTTGATCTGTCATTGGCCCTCCATTAGCCCTGACACCACGGAGCTTCATCTCTGGCAGCACAGTGACAAGCAGCTGAGGGCAAAGAAAATTTTCAACTGGAAGGCTGAGAAGCATTAATAACTTTAAGGCTCCCGGTAAATCAAGCCAGTGACCTTTTGCTCCTTCTCCTGTTTTACCTGACAGATGGGCCAGATTACAAAGCAGGGATGGACACAAGAAGGGAAAGCGAACCTTGCAGTTACCCCGCTGCCAGCATGCGAGGTGGGGGATCTCGGGGTGCTGCTATTGGGGTGCCCGCTGGTGCAGGGATGGGTGCTGCCAGCCCTTGTCCAGCTCACATCTCCCAAATTTCTCTGTCTATTTAACATTAGAGCAGATGCACTGAGCCAAGCCCTGGTCCATCAGTGCCAGCAGCATGGGAAAGCAAGACTCAGTCTTCTCCAACAGCAGCCGGGGGTCACAGCAGCATCCCCTGTACCTGCTCGTCCTCCCCAAGCACCACGCATCCTTCAGTCAACTACATTTTTCAAGTCGTTCAGGACCTTCCTTGTGCTGCTGCATGAGAATTGCACTGAAATCCCCCAGATTCCCAGGAGAAGTGGCAAATGTTGCTCCCTGCTCACATCTCTGAGCAAAGTCATGCTCGTATTTCCATGAGACCGAGAAAGCCGTGTCTTGCTGCAGCTTTCCCAAGGAAAAGCCCAGCTGCACAACTCCCCGCACGCCCAGCGGCTGCTCACCACGCCGTGCTCCCCAACAGGTTTCTCTAATATTTCCTTTCCCCTGACGTTTAGAAGTCTGCTTTTCTGAGCTACACGCCTGCCAAGGGTTGACCACTGTCTCCTTCCCAGTTGGACGCAAGCAGAGCAGGGCCAGCAGCTCAGCAGGACCCAGCTTCTGGTAATTTCAATTCAACGTCATCAGCCAAAGTCTTAGCGTGGGTCTCTTCTAGATCATCACCGCTGATCCCTGCGAGTTTATTTTCCTCCCGCTTAGCGGGGAAGCACATCCCGTGCCAGCAATGATCAGCGCTAGCCTGCTCCACGCCCCAGATGGACCCCTTGGCTCCTTCTCGCAGGGTTTTGATGCCCGGTCCAAGGTGATGCATTTGTTGTTTTTTAAAGTGTGGAAGAGAAATCAAAACGTGGGGGGTACAAGAAACCAGCCAATGAATTTTCCTGGTCTTTATACTACGGGTAGGGCTCTCAAATAAGGTTTTACTTAAAGATAAACAAAAAAAACCCCAAAACCCACCACACATGCACGCGCACCCCCCCCCAGGCCCTCCATCATCCCCCAGGAAGAACCAGATTGTCCCCAGTCCCCTCCACCAGACAATGGCATGGTTAAATATAGCAAGTACAATAAAGCCCAACCCTGTGACGATCTACAGATGGTAAAAAGGAGATTTAAAGCAAAGGGGTGGTACAAAGGAACCCTGTGACATCGGGGGCAGCTGCCTGCTGCTGCCGGAGCGGCGTGGGAACCGGGGAACGGGGCTGGGGAGCAAAAGGGGCTGGACCCACGCTCAGAGGGGGTACAGAAAAAGTTGCATAGGAAGCAAAAATACGCAAAGCTCTGCCTTTGTACAAGCACTGCGGCCCTTTCGGGATTTTCCCTGGGAAATCCAAAAAAGCCTGTCCCTAAGGATGGTGGCAGTGCAGAACGGCCGAGGCTGGAAGAGGAGCTGGTGGCTGGAGCTTCCAGCATCTACTGGAACTGAGAAAGCGCAGATGAAAAACAAGGGCTTCTGGACATTATGTCAGCTTTTCTCACTAAACCAACAAGGCAATCAAAAAGGTTGTGCTGGGAAAGCTTGCTTTTTTTAATTCAAACGTCAACCTGTCATCAGGGCGTCGAAATTAAACAAGCCAGTTACTGTCTGGCTGCGTGTACGCCCCGAGACAGTCATGCTCTTGGCAGGAGCGGGATGCTGCCGGCCTCTGCCCGACGCCGCAGCCAGTGCTGATGGCACAAGTTTGCCATATCACCAAACACTTTGCAAAGTGAGGGTTTGCTTTAATTGCTCACTTCAGCTGCAGGAACATCTCAACCGTGATAGCCTCCAGGGCATAAACAAGTAGTGCTTAATAATACTGCTTAGCGCTTCCATGCTGCTTTTACTTCTTCAAAACACTTCTAACCAAGCTTTCTCTGCGTACAAGCACCATTTCCAAAGGTTTCCTGTTCTCATCTTGTTTGTTGGCTGCAGAAGCTAGAAAATCAGGTTGTAACTTGAGTTATATGGTGGGTCAAGCAGCCTGGTAACCCCTGCGGTTGGGTTCCACCGGAGCAGAAGGATCTGTGATATCTCCCATGAGGTCCACACACTAAGTAAGGAAAAAAAATGGAAGCATTCCTTGGGGAAAAAAAAAAACAAAAAGCAGGATTTGTCCAGGCGCTGGACTGCGATGCCCCAAATCTTCCTTGGTTCAATGGAAGAGGTAAGTGAGGGTGACAACAAGAGCGGTGGGTGTTAGCCATTGCCTTGCCCAGCACCCTCCCAGCTGATATGATGAACCAAGCAGGAGCTCACACCAACAGCCCAGACCCAGTGCCCAGACCAGCGGGGCCAGTTAGCGAAGAGTAATGGTACCAGCCAGTTGCTGACTGGCTGACTCTTGACTGCGAAGTAGACGTTGGGTCTTGGCTCAGCAGAAAGGTCAGTTCTCAATATGCGAGAAGAAAGCAAACCCCCCCAAATGAACAATATTTTTCATGTGGGCTGCTCACTACTTATGTCTGAAGTCAATTTGACCTACCAACTTCATTACCAGCCTTGGTCTACAGCCACGGACCACTAGTAACACAGAAGCAATAATATGAGCTGTCAAAGAAACCGCATTTATCTTCTCTCTCCTAAAGCGGGCTTCCAAAGGTCCAACCTGATTTACTTATTCAAGCCTCTGATTTTTTATTTTATTTTATTTTTAATAACTTTATGTACTTAAATTATTTTCAGGACTTTAAAAATCACATCCCAAGTGCTTTCAGGATTGGTGCCTTGCTGGAAAAAAACCCAAACCATCAAAGTCCTGGTAGATTAGAGCTGACATCTCATCCTTCCACCCACTGTTTTCCAAAGATATTCCCTATCTTTAAAATGGGAAATTCCACGGGAACCAGCGGAAGCCTCCCAATGAGTGGATACTTTAAAAGACATCTCCTCGATGAGCTCAAATAAACACTTTTTAACAAAGGCAGAGCTGCTGAAAATATAAAGGAGGTTTTCTTTCTCCTAATCAAATTAATAGAGTCAAACCAAAAAAATGTGCAACCCCTACAAATGCGTAGTAAGCTCCAAATTTTCTTCAAACACTTGAAAAGCACAATAACTTTCGCAAGCATATCAACATAAAGGAGAATGCTCCCGTCCAACAAACACAAGGAGCTGGTTTAAAAAAAATAATTAGAAAAAATACAAGCTACATTTTCTGCCATAGGCTCTATTCTTCAGGAAAAGACCGCAGAGTAGTTAAGCGAATGTCTGGGTTAATGACAGCTGATGTCCCGTATCCCATAGCAGTAGTCATGACCTTCAGGCCTCCCGTGACTGACGGGCTGACCCCAAGCACTCCAGGGTGCGAGGTAAATGACAACCAAAGAAGAAAAAGAAAGAGAAGAGAAAGAAAACTTGCTGCCGGCTTTGTAGCCAAGCTTCCTAATAAAACCTAATTCAAGCTGTCAGGGTGAAATGAAGAAAGTGTCAACAGGGGTTTTCAGAGAAATATTCCAAATGTTTGGCTAGAAAAGCCAAGAGCTCGGCTCCCCTCCCCCAGCCCAACACCGCTCCTCAAAAAGGGCTGGAAAATCCAATGTCGAAAGGAATTTTAATAACATGTCCGGGGGGACCCCTGAGGAGGGACCCAAGGGGACACTTTTCTTCCCTTCCCTGACAAACCCAATCATCTCTGTAATGGTGAAGAGCACAAAACTCACAAGGGAAGTGCCAACGGTGGAGTTCGGTGAAACCAGCATCCGTGTGAAATCGGACCATTCTGCCGGCTTTAGAAACCGAGATGTTTAATGGTGACCCCCAGGTTAAGAGCCTTGGGAGCCACCGAAGAGAACAACCTGCCACCAGTGAAAGGCCGAGATTAAACGTGGGGTGAGAAACATCCTGCGCTTCCACATCAACCAAGGAGCTACCACGTCCTCCAGCAGAAGATGGAGAGAACGTGCCTTTCTAAATTACTATCCCTCGCACAAAGGAAGAAAATGAGAACTCTGAAGAGCCTTGGGTAGGCACTGAAACATCTGGTGAGTCCCCAGAACACTGGGGAGAAGCTCTCACATCAGCACTGGGGCAAGTCCAGCGTCAGGCCCTGGCCAGGACACGAAGCTGCCAAGGGAGGTGAACCCAACCCCAGTCCAACCTCTTGCTAGTACGGTGCTGCAAACGGTCAGAGGGGAAGAAGGATCCCTCCTGCAAGTAAAAATCTTGTGATTCATTTATATACCTCTACCAAGCTGAAGACATTACTGGGTGCAAAAAGAAAGCACCAACCTGCAGGTTCTGGCTAATACAGTTGTCTTCCAGCCTGACAAACATACACATGGGAAAAACCATCATCAAGGCGCCTTGGGATGGAGAAGGGAGGGTAAACACATGCAATATTGTGGAGGCTTTAAAAAAAAAGATCAGATTATTTGTATATAAACTCCTATGGGAAACAAGAAAAACAAAACCCCTAAAACAGCAGCTGAAACTCATTAACACAGGGGGCAAATCAAAACCTCAAGAGTTTTCCTGCCAGCGCGCTCCTGGAGGGACAGCCCGGGGAGGCTGTAGATGTTATAGCAGGCACTGACCCAATGACAAGTGGACATCACTATCCTTCTCGAGACAACCAGATTCATCTATTTATTATTCATCTACTGACTCAGAAACACCTCAGAGGGAACAGCCCCCTCGGTTTTTATACAGCTAGCACGGTTCT